ATTTAGAGAAAACAAGACTACTTGACTTGTCTGAACTTTTGTAAGCGAAAACGAAAACAGAAAAAAATAACTTTTCTAGGTCATGGAAGTTTTCTAACTTACTCACTCAAAGTTGTGTAAAAGTCATGCAGTTATATATCAAGGCCACTGTAGGAATGCTGACAGACTAAATATAGTCTCTCAGTCGTGACACACACATGACCCACTGCCATCTCACTTACTGGGATATTTATTGCAAGGAAAAAATATCTTTGCACCACTATGGGATAATCTTCAAATAATTAACTACTAAATGAACTACTCTAAACTAATTTAGTTAAGGCTTAATGTCATACATCTATACTCATTGATTATAGGTTATATGGTGTGATTATTATTATTTACATGAACCCTTTTTCCTGGCTTTTCCTTTATATGTATCACATTGGACACTTATTTTAAAAACAATCTGATTGATTTCCTTGAATTTTAGCACCTGTGAGAGACATACTATGTTGTCTTTTGTTTTCCAATCGGCAGACATGGATCAGTAACAGGCGGAGGAAGTACCGTCTGATGGGTATTGAAATCCCTCCACCTAAAGGTGGGCCTGCTGTATTTACAACCTCATCCCCGGGAAACGAATCTCCATTGAGCCACAGCCCTGACGAGGAGTGCCTCAGAACGCCTGAACTCGGAGATGACTTGAATGATGGGGGATCTGTCTGCTTGTCTGAAGGTTAGGCGGCTGATATTATATATACACGCTCACTTACCTCTGTATAAACTGCATGGCTCAACATTAATGCATTGTTCTGGCTTCTAGATGGCACCATCGACTCGCAACATAGAGACGGAGAAGATGGAATAGATGTGCCCACTGCTGCTCTACAGGCCAATAATGTGGTACTTCATTATTTCTCTAATATTACTGTACAGCCTCATTAAATTTACCCACTTAGGAATGGACACTGGTGGAGATGGTGTTCATACTCAGATGAGATACAGTGAATCAGAGCTCATTCATTCTACTTAAGCATTTAAGTTCATATCAGTTTGTAGCAACAAAACCACACCAGCTGTACCTTCATTAATCAGATATGAACTTGGCACATTTTCTCATTTGTAATGGGATGTTTAATAAGCCTATTTCACAGTGGACATTTTGACATGTCACAGTAAGATAAACACAGGTGTAAATAATAAAACTAATTTAAGCTGCTTCGGTTCAGGGTCCTGCTATTGTACATGCTGGCTTCTCCTACTATGACAGTTCAAAATGTCTGCTGTAAAGAAAGCTTTTATTAATAGTTATTAATGTATTTTTAAATGTACACACACTAAAAGTCTAGGACGTAATCATATCATAATAATAACCACTGTTTCGTTCTTTCAAATTTACAGATTTGCTTCCAGTTCACAAATAAACGTATTGACCAATCGCAGGCATTTTCAAGCATGATGAGTAATTGTGATGATGAAAAAAATGATGAAATTGTGTTCATTTTAATCATTAATCCCAGATTAAAAGTGGGGTGTGCGATTCTAATATTCTTTATTACGCTTTTTTCCGTCCCGTCCCTGAGATGTTTTTGTTTTTAAGTTGTTACTAGAGTATGTCTGACATCATTATCTCTGTCCAATGACATATAACCATGGATGATGGTGATGTCTCGCATCATGTGTTTCACAGTTAGAGTAAGCTAATTCAATCTTTACACCACACAGTTGACACTCTACAAGCAAGAGTAAGTTTAAGAGTTTTGTTTTTACCTAAGAGTATGGTTTGTTTCTTTGAGAAAACTAATCAAAGTTTATCTACATATGTAACACATTTCATCCAAAACCGCAATGAAAACAAAATGTTTTACATAATAAAGTACATTACAAACATAAGGAATAGAACCCAGAGCAGATAATAGACACCATAAGACTTGCATGTGTGATCATATTTAATTTAATTTTTCAGTTTCTTTATACAAAGTTATTATCGTTTGATCTAATCTGTGTGTTTTTTTTTTAACAGAAGATTGAAGTAATTGATGAGGATGAGCAGGAAGAAGATGAATATGGTGAATTAGTGGCTTCGGACCTAGAGCAAATGCAGAGCCTGCTGGAATTTAAGGTGAAAATACACACAACACGATGACGGACTGATGAAGCTGCAGTTTCTTCAAGCTCTAAATGAACTTTTTTGCCTCTTTGAATCCTTCTGTTTCAGCACGAGGAAGTGCAGTTCTTAGAGAATGAGCTAGAGAACCAAAAAATAAAATACCAGGAGCTTGCGAGCTTCACGAAGAGCCTGCTAAGCGCTGTGAGGAACAATGACCTGGAGAGACAGCAGGTACATTCGCAGTCATGTTTACGCGTGACAAGATCCATTAGAAATATAGAAACTTCTAACCTGAATCTGCCGTTGTGTTTAGGAACTCATGGCCAGCCTACCTCAGCCTTCAGACCAGGACTGGGACATGAATGTGGAGAGAGGAAGCCAGCCTGCTGCCGTGTCAGCAGACGCGTCTTCCGACCATGACGACTCCCCGGCGACCGGTGCAAGCAACGTGGAGCCTCCACCGGCCCCAGCATACGAAGAAGTCCCGCTGGTCACCATAAACGAAGATGATACGACGACTGAAGTTACCGAGCCCTCTGCATCAGAGGAGCAACTGCAGGAAGCAGTTTCAGAACAAAAGTGACTATCTTATGTACATCAGTTCACATAGACTCATACAGACGTTTCCACACTCCACACAAGAAGGGACTTTATGGTCTTACATTTACACAAACACTCTGGTAAACTCACCCTCCACGCCCAGTGCCTGTGGATTGATGCTTCACTATGACTGTTGGGCTGACAAATGCCTTTTTTACTGCATATCATTCGCCTTGCTCTGGACCCGTCCAGAGAGAACAATAAACGACCTCTAACTTATCTGTGTGGTTTTATTTCTGTTACATATTCTTCACATTACTCAGTGAGTAAACAGAGTTAGTTATCTCAGCTCAGAGTATTATAACTGTATAAAGAGTCACTAACTGAGAACTTTTGTATTGTAGATCATCTTTAAACTGCTCAAACTACGGGACCATGCTTCAATTTATACAGATTCCATTTATAAAATTAAAACTTGATTGATATACAATAACTCTGATGACATTTCTCATTCAGGAAGCGAAGGATTCAAACTTAAACCCGAGGTACACTTCAGTTCAACATCCAATATCGTGTCCACGGTGACCTATCCTGTTAAGTGTATAAGCAGAAGTGGTGTGTCAATGCAAGCAAATGTAGACATGTAGTGTGTAACCACCACACAAAGGCTTTGCACCCGTGGGTGGGAGAGAGAGAGAGAAACAAGAGCTGTAGAGAAAGTGGATGAGCTTTAAGCCTCTTACTTCCACTTGGACTAGGGATGGACAGGCTTATGAAACAGTGGCTTTTAAAACATTCAACTTACACCCTTTAAGATCAGAGGCTTAGATTTCATATGGCTCACCCCCCCAAAAAGAGCTGTCTGCCTGCTCCTGCGTCAACCACAAATGAAAAAAAAATTAACTAAATTGTCTTGTTACAATGGCAGTGACTATTTCAGTCGCAAGCAAAGAGTGCATCACCCGGATGCATGTATGTCACACGCAGCGTGTCATACAACATCTACCCCCCCTCTCCCTCCCAACCCCACCACACCACACCACACCACGTCCTCCCTCTCTCTCTCTCTCT